TCTCTCTCTCTGTCTGTCTCTCTCTCTGTCTGTCTCTCTCTCTCTGTCTGTCTCTCTCTCTGTCTGTCTCTCTCTCTCTGTCTGTCTCTCTCTCTGTCTGTCTCTCTGTCTGTGTCCAGGAAGGACGACCGTCTGCCAGCAGGAGTGTTGGTGAAGGAGGACAGACTGATGTTCGTCAGGCCTCTGAACGTGACGGATGAAGGCGTGTACGTCTGCCAGACAGCAAACAGCGCGGGAATCGCTAAAGCAGAGTTTAAAGTGGAGATCGGAAGTAGGTGTTTAATCTACTGAAGAAGCAAATGACACCAGGCCCGATCGTCACACTGACCGATGAACTCAAACGTATGGGTTTTCCCACAAACTTCTCTTAAAGACTTCCTTCTATGGGAGTGTCATCATGTTAATGATCATTATAAAATGAATTATCTCATTTATTTCTATTGTTCTGACTCATCCTGGTAAAGCCCCTGTTTATACGTTTTGTTTTTTATTTTATACAGAAAATAAAACAATTAAATATTTTAAAATAGTTTTTTATATATTTTAAAGTACTTTTTAAAATATTTGTATAAAAAAAATTATATTTAAAATAATATATTTATAAAAAATTAAAATTAAAATATTTAGTGTCTAGATTATTAGCATCACCGATTACTCTTGTGTTTTTTTTTTTTGTACAAATACATATTTTCATCTTAAAGTGAAGGCTGGAAATGTAAGTAAAAATTGCAACATCAGCTCTGTTGGCGGCAGCAGAAATGTGCTTAAAATAACCAAGAGGATGTTTTCTGTCGTTGTTGCCACACGGCCCATGTTGCTCTGACTTCCTCATAATGATTTGCACAATCGTGTAAACTTAGATCTTATTCTCAGCCAACAGTGACTCCACGCCACTGCCTTTCAATGGAAAAACTTTCCATTAATTTACTCGATGTTTGTCTACTTTTGTGATTCTGCTGCCCCCATGTGGTGATTTTAATTTAATTTAATTGTTTAATTTGAAATGATTTTATTTAAATGTAATTTTTACATTTTGTTTATTTTATTTTGATTTAATTTTTACATTTAATTAAAAAAATTTAATTAATTATTTTAACCCTAATTTTATTAAATGAAATGAAAGGTAAGACACTACAGGTGAATAGGGTAAATATCATAACTAATATCACTATACCTTCCCAAGCTGATTTATTCATTAAGATAATTATTTTGTAATTAACAAGACATGTTACGGAAGCAAAATAATCTCAAAATTGAGTAGTGCATGCAAAAAAAACACTCTTTTTGTCTGTAGCGTCTCACCTTAAATGAATGCATTAGGGTTTTTTGTTGTTTGTTTTTCAGAACGTTGGCCTGAATCCGCTCGCGCTCTCGGAAGCCCGTCAGAGACTCTCCTCATCATCATAGGAGCGTCTGTCGCCGGGGTTTTGGTCATCGTCATCGTGATCGCCATCATTTTAATTAACTGTCACCTTAGACGCAAGAACAGGAAACTTAAACGAGCGCTCAGCACCAGAACGTGAGTCTGTGACCTTTCACCTCAGAAATGCATCTAGAGGCAATATGTGACCCTGGGCCACAAAACCAGTCATAAGGGTCAATTTTTCGAAATTGAGATTTATACATCACATAAAAGCTGAATAAATAAGCTCTCCATTGATGTGTGGTTTGTTAGGATCGGACAATATTTGGTCGAGATACAACTATTTGAAAATCTGGAATCTGAGGGTGCAAAAAAATCTAAATATTGAGAAAATCATCTTTAAAGTTGTTCAAATGAAGTTCTTAGCAATGCATATTACTAATCAAAACTTAAGTTTTGATATATTTACGGTAGGACATTTACTAAATATCTTCATGGAGCATGATCTTTACTTAATATCCTAATGATTTTTGACATAAAAGAGAAATTGATCATGTTGACCCATACAATGTATTGTTGGCTATTGCTACAAATATCCCCCAGCGACTCAACACTGCTTTTGTGCTGCAGGGACACATATCTCATGCAACATGAATGTGTTTGTGTCTCAGGGAGGAGATGATCAGTCTGTCGCGACAGGTGTCCATGAGGAGACTCGACTCCTTCAACGGTGATCTCAGGACAGCGGTACGACATCGCAATTAATATTCATGATTAAATACAGCTTATAGACTTTAACAACATCTGTGGCTCAGACTACAGGTTAGACTTGACTGTCAGTTTGTGAAAAACAGCAAAGATAATGTTGAAGTCTTTAGGGTTAGGTGTGTTGAAATGAATTCTTCTGTTATTTGAGCTGTGAAATGTATTTTAGGGTTTTTCTCTAGTAGATTTTATATTAATGTCTCACTGCTGTAAATTAATGAAGGGAATAAGAAATTATAATCTGCATAAAAAGCATTTTTGCATTGTGCCATTATTTTCATGATAATGTAAAAGCCCTCCTTGTATTCTTAAAATCATAATGCAAGAAAAAGCTTAATGTTGTTATTGTTAATGTAAAGTATTTATATATTAGTTACTGTTTGTTGTGCTATTTTATTTATGCTGATTTAATATTTAATTTGTTCTATTACAGTATTTTTATTTTGATGAGAATCTAATGGTAATCATCTTTGACAATGACAATTATTTAAAAATACACAAAAGTAATGAGATTGTGGAGGGAAAATCATGTCACAATGCAAAAAAAATTAAAATTGTCCCCAAAATAAACTTATTTCTATTTAATATGTATGTCACTTCTGTAATTCCTGTGATTCACCACAAAATGAAAAGAAATAATTCTGCATAAAAAGCATTAAGATTTTTTTTTTGCATTGCTTTCATGATAATTAAGAAAACATGCTCATATTTTCATTATAATAATGCAAAAACAAAACAAAAAACAATCAAGTATTTATATATTAGTGTTTATTTTCTTGCCTTTAATTTATGCTCATTTAATAAAAAATATTGTATGACAGTTTATTTTTGATGAGAATCATCTTTGGGAGTAATAACACATAACAAAAAAAGCTCAAAGTATGGTTGTTCTTCATTGTTATGAATAATGTCACAATGCAAATAAGAATAGACCTACTATTGCATGCATAAAGAGCATTACGTTTAGTTTTTTCTGCATCAATGTTATTGTCATGATAATTAATAAACTTGTGTATATTCAGATTATCATCGTGCAAATAATCAGTATTTATTTATTAGTGTTTATTAACCTGCCTTTAATTTATGCTGATTTCATATGTAAAAATATTTGTACTACAGTATTTTTATTTTGATCAGAATCATCTTTGAGAATAATGATAAAACGCAAAAAAAACACTTAAAACTAAGGAGGAAAACTGTTCATAATTGTCACGAAAATAATGTGACAATGCAAAAAACAAAACAATAGTTTCTTCTTTTTTTATGGAGAAATGTGACCCAGACTTGTTTTCACAAGATTTTTACATTAAACTATAAAATGTGTGATAGTTATATTTTAAATGCTGTCCACCTGCCTGTTCTGGTTTCATTGTAAATGTTACTGTAAACATGATTTTTGTTGTTACGAACTGAAGCACAAATCTAAATTGAGTTGCATTATAAAGCGGAGAGTTCCGGTGCTTGGCTCTGATTGGCTGAGCCGCGTTCGAAGCTGTTGTAAATGACGCTACAAAGTAACACACAGCTTTGTTTACGTTTGTGTGTTGCTCGGCAACCACTTTGTAGCAACCACAACTGTTTCTGAGGAGCTACATTGTTTGGTGGAAGAATACTGTGTTTATTAATATCATTACACATTATTTGCTCCGTTTTATTTTGTGAAACCTTACTACGTATATGGAGTAACCGTGTTTTATAAAAGCTATAAGCCCCGTGAAGCCGTGGTTTACAGTGAATTTATAACAGCTACGGAGGTTTTAACGCCCCTTAGCTGTTATAAATTCACTGTAAACCACGGCTTCTTGGGGCTTATTGCTTTAATTTACTTGGAATAAAGCTGAATTCCTGGTTATACTTTTTGAAGTAATGTGATGCATCATAACTCCTCTTGTTTGTGTGGTTTGCAGCTGGAGGAGATTGCACTGATTCAGATGGACAGTGTGACGAAGGGCAGTGTTTTATCTGTGGAGGTGAGTTTATTTCACACCAGCACACGTGTGTGTGTGTGTGTGTGTGTGTGTGTGTGTGAGATATCACCAGAATAAACATCTGCATGTCTCTGTAGGATCGTTCAACACTGAGCGACGTGAAAGGCAGACATGGAGACAGAGAGTATGACAGTCTGGGACGTCCCGCCATATACACGGCGTACCGGCCGGCGCGATCCAGCAGAAACATAAGAGAGATCGAGGAGGAGAGAAATGAGCGCAGACGGAGAGTCGAGTCCTATGTCAAATCCAGCAGCATGTCACTGGTGAGTGTGAGTGTGTGTGTGTGTGTGTGAGAACATCAACATCAACCCATTCACCACCACATGCACACTGCAGCTAAATTCGGTTGTCAGTTCACCTTTTACTTAGGGATGGGCGGTATGGGCCTAAATACAAATTTCTGGTATTTATTCAGAATCAGAATCAGAAGGAGCTTTATTGCCAGGTATGTTTACACATATGAGGGATTTGTTTTGGTGACAGAAGCTCCACAGTGCAACATAATGACAAGACACAGATAATAAAAAGAATAATATACAAATATATGTATACGTACAAATTAGCAAAAACACAATAAAATAGATAATTTTGCATGCATTATATATGCATACATTCACATATGCATCGCAGAAGTAATTGCACTGATGACGCTCCAGGAAATCCCTAATATGGACAAAGGCATCCAGTTATCCCAGCCAAATATTATTGGTAAAATTTAAATCTGATATTGATTTTAGGTGCTCCTTTTGTGTCGGTTGCCATGAAACTGTGGTACATTTGTTTTGGTATTGCCCTTTTGTGAAACAATTTTGGCAAAATGTCTGTGATTTTATTGTACAAAATATTGACAGTCGTTTTGTTTTGTTTTGGAAATATGTATTATTTGGTATCTTAGAGAAAAGCACAGTCACGTTTACATGATAAATCGGGGGGGTTTTTAACATGGAAAATTTCATATTCACAAATGTAAGTTCTGCAAAAAACCTTGCTTTTTTCATTTAAAGGGGTCATATGATGCGATTTCAAGTTGTCCTTTCTCTTTGGAGTGTTA